TGCCTTTTGAAATGAGAAAAATCCAAACTATCTTTAGTTTTCTATGAATCATTATAATGTAACATCTAAATTCTACTTTCAGTTCCTTCTGTTTTCCAACATTTATATAGGAACCAGAATGGCTAGAAAAGTGATAGAATGCAGAGACCTGCAATGAAGTTTTCACTAAACAACCACTCAACTCAGCAAGCTGCTATCCAATTTAAACAACAAGGGAAGAAGTGAACTAGAATCTTCTTTCCCCTACCCTTTCCCCTCAAGTCAAAAAGAGACTGAAATACACCAAAACGAAAAGGGCAAATACCAAACCTGAACTACATCATTCAGCTAATTGACTATACCAAATTAAAGAAAAATATAAAAATAAAATTGAATCGGAATTTCATTTCAAGTTCCCATTTTTCACAGCAACCAGAGTTTCAATCTAAGAAAATTAAAATCCTTCAACCCCAACATCTGTGAACGAAAAGCTCAAAAGCAGAAAGTTAAAAAACCAACAGAATCTAGGAACACAAGGATGTCTCAGTTTTTGTTTGCAAAGAGAAAATCTTACCCACAAAAGGAGTCGACTTGGAGAAGAATCTAGAAAACCCATAAGGAGTTGAAGCCGGAATCGCCTGGGCGTTGTTGATTATTTGCCTCCACGCCATTTTCAATCAAATTGAAGGTGAAGGACGGAAACAACCTGTATGGAGGCTAATTTACCTGGTCGGGGTTTTGAGGGGAGACGAAGAGATAAAACGCACCGTTTTAGCTCATTCAATTGGTTGAGATTACCAGTCAAATTGGAGGGCGAAAATCCATGGTTGACCCTTCATCTTATGACATGAAGATTTTGACCCCTTATCTTTTTGGTTTAAATATAAAGCCCAAAGTGGACGGTCACTCGACGATCACTTGCGTCCCATGCTCATATTAGGATTCTATTACCCTTTGCCATGTCAATACCATTTGATGAGAAGTATTTTTATATACTTTAATTTATTATTTTAGTCTTGATTTTATTATTATTTATAAAGATACCATGTGATTTTCAATAAATTTTGTGTAATTTTTATTTTTTGTGTAGAAAGAAACTTGAATACATAATAATAGAAGTTTTTGGAATTAATTAAATATTTTTTGAAAGTTGAGGGATTGAATTGAGAGAAAAAAGTTTTTTTGGACCTAAATGAATGAATATTAAGTTTTGAGATCAAATTGTTCATTATATAAAAGCTTGAGGACCAGATTTGCTATTTTACCATTGAAGAAATTGCATAAACATGGGTATGGTGTCTACAATAAAGGCGAGTCTGTTTTTTCCTGCTTCCTACTTTTTTAGGGTTTTTAAACTCTATAAGTATTCATTTAAAAATTAGATTTAGGATTTTTAAGAGACCAAAAGAGAGATAATTAACAAAAACTTAATAACAAAAATTTATTCTTGAATTTTGTTTTATAACACTAAATATTTTTATATTTTATCATGAAATCTTTGATTTTTTTCTTTAATTCTCAACTAATATAGCCATCTAAGCTTATGATGTAATCTAATTAATTTGATATAAAATTTTATCATTTTTATACTTTTAAAGTTTTTTATTTCATGTAAAGTATATATTATTATTTTTAATGCTTTTTAATAATTGGCCACCATTAAAATTAATAATTGAGATTGAGAAGAGATTTTATACAATAACTACTAATATATACCATAAATTGAACGAAAACTAGAAATAAACCAACGTAATTTGTGCAACATTTATAATAAGTAAACTTAATTTTCTATGTAAATTGATAAATAGGGAGTTTCACAAAATATAATATATCTTTATCTATTTAAATTCATAAAGATATAGTAAGTAATAGGTAAAAATAAGTTTGATATAACTTGAAAAAATATATTGAATACGATAAGAATATCGCTGTCACATGAGAATATATATCTTCAATGTAAATTAATCTAAAGCCTATATTAAGTAATTATGGTGAAATCAAATACATTAAAATTTTAAGTCTTGATGATACTTAAAATCAATTTAATTTTCTTTTAATTGATTTAGTTAATTAGTTCATTTAAATTATTTGATTGCAATTGTTTAAATAAAATTAAAATTAATTAATTTTGATACTTAATTATTCTACAGTTTTTATAAAATGATACTTAATTTTTATTATTATATTATTTAAATTGATTAATACTCTTATTAAATTAAAATTAGCTCATCATCATCATCTTAAATCGCCAACATGAACAATAAAAATAAAAAAATTTCTTACTCACTTTAAAGTCAACCATAGCTATTTGAAATTAAAATTATTTTTAGTCCAATTTAAAGCAAATTGTAGATATCAAATTAAAATTATTTTTAGTCCACTTTAAAGTAAATTGTAGATTTCCTGCTTTTTTTTGGTCTACATCAACAGTTCATGATAATAAGGAATTGTACACTGTGGTGTTGACATTGCAAAGGTGATGGAACCCTACCAAGCAGGTGATGCACGGGACCATTAGTCGCCCATTTAAGGCTTTTTTATTTAAGCTGAAAAAAAATGGAGTAAGATTTTTAACTTACAAGAAAAATGGTTAAAAGTTTTATAATCATTAAAGTGAAGGATTGGCCATGAATTTTCGTCCAAAGTTGAGATCATAGACAGTCTATAATCTTTTTATCAAGAACTGATATAATAAATCTTATATTTTATAATTTAAATTATAAAATAAAAATTATAAAATAAAAGA